GACGTCCTGAGAGGCCAGGACACGACGCGAGGTGGGGTGGTAGAACTGCCAACCAGGGGCGTCCGGGACAAAGCCAAGGAAGACGCAGGGGACAGTGCGACGGGAGAGCTTGTCCGCGGACGTGTCGCGGACAAAAGCTCGGGATCCCCAGACCCGAAAACGCGACGCATCGCCAGCCTCTCCCGTCCAACGCAGTGTCGGAGAAGTCTCGGGCAAGGAGACACGGGGCCAGAGGTTGAGCTGATGCGCAGCGTATCGGACCGCAAACGGCCACAGAAAATGGGGGGCAGCCGCATGACTCAAGGAGGTACGAGCGACCTCCATGACTAGACCAATGCGGCGCTCAGCAACCCCATTCTGCTGTGGAGAGGCCGGAAGCGTGAACGACTGCTCAATGCCCTCCTGCTGACAGAAGGCCTCCAGGAGGCCAGAGGAAAACTCCCCACCTCTGTCAGAGTGCAGACGCAGGACAGGAAAGTCGGAGCGGAAACGCCTGGTGAGCTGGAGACGAGATCTGCGGATCCAAGGGATCAAGACATCAGGTACGTCACCCTTGGCTCGCAAGGGGAAGACCGTGGTGTAGCGCGAGAAGTCGTCAACAACGAGCAAAAAGTACCGCTCCTGACCCTGTCCACGGACGCGGGCTGGGCCCCACACGTCCAAGTGGAGCGTCTGCAAGGGAGCAGTCGTCGGGGGAAAGGAGGAGGAGTGAGGAGCGGCGCGCTGCCGCCCCTCGACACAGGGAATACAGGGAGGAGCAGGCGAGTCGGGAAGGGGAGGGAGCACCCTGGGAAGACCAGCAACAAGGTCCCGTTTGTGCATGGCCCGAAGGCGCTGCACAGACGGGTGACCAAGGCGGTGGTGCCAAAGGACAGTCTCATGCGCCAGAGAGCGACACGAGCAGGGGGCGGACAGCTGACCTGACGCAGACGCAGACGTAGACGCAGACGCAGCTACCTGAGGGGACTCAGTGGTCAGTGTGTACAGGTCCGACCCCGGCTCTCGAGTGAAAGTAGCCAGGTGGCGACCCGTCCGAGCACACGTGCAGTGTGTCACGCGCTCGTAGGCAGGGGTGAACTGGTGAACACCCGAGTCCTGGAGCGCACAACCCGCCACCAAGTTCGTAGAGAACGAGGGGAGGTAGAGACCTGAAAGCGTGCCGGACGGGACCGCAGGACAAGGAAGAACAGTGGAGGAGGTCGCAATGACCGGACCCCCAGAGGGGTCAGCAAGGGAGACAGCAACTGGCCGAGCGAGTGGCTCAAGGACAGTGCGGTCACGAAAGAAAGAGCGAGAGGCACCTGAGTCCAGTGTGAAGGTGTGCAGTGCTGCAGTCAACCCAGTACCAGGGGGCACGGACGCACTAGCACCTAGGGCAGCAGCCTCACCAGGACCTGTGGGAGCAGACGCACTAGCACCTAGAGCGGCAGCCGGACTGGCCTGAATGCCCGGGTCGGGCGGAACACGCAAGTACTGAGCACCCTCTCCACTAATAGACATGGCATACATGGCAGTGAGAATAGCATCAAAGTCTAGAGCCCAAATATCGACACCCCTCTTTTCCAGATCAGCCCAGCGCGGCAGCTCAGCGGCATCAGGAAACTGGGTGCGCCACGCGTCGTTAAGGCGCGCGAAGCAGCGGTGCGTGGGGTGCGGCCTCCCACACTGCTGGCCGCTGCGGTCACCTGTGCGAATGACGTACGTGCAGGTAAAGCCACGCTGCGCATACCACTCACGGGCGGCCTGAAGCGTCGGGGCGGGCTGCTGACTCGGGCCTCCGCCAGTGCCTCCACGACCACCACCGCCACCACCACCGCCTCGGCCACCTCCACCCCTGCCGCCGCCACGACCACCTCCACCTCCGCTGCCGCCTCCACCCCTGCCACCGCTCCCGCCGCTGCTGTCTCCTCCCCCACTGCCGCCACTAGCCTCCCCAGTCGCGCCTCCACTCCCACCGCCTCCACCCCCACCTCCTCCGCCACCACCCCCACCCCTGCCTCCCTTGCTCCTGCGGCGCCCGCTCGAAGCAGACGCGGTCCCGACCTTCTCAGCACCAAGGAGGTCGACAGCAGCAGCAGAGGCGACAGAGGGGAGGAGGGGGGAAGGGGAACACCCCTCGAAGAACGGGGTGCGGGGGTCGCCACGAGAGGTGCCTACAGCGACGATGCTCGCCTCAGCTGCAAGCAGTTCCTTCTCGAGGAGGGCAACAGTGAGCTCAGTGGGGGAGCGAGAGAGGAAGTGGTCCCTGACTGCACGCAGAGAGTCAGGGAGGCGGGTGACGATGTGGTAGAGAGTGATCCAGAGCGGGGGGGGGTTGCTAGTGAGAAACTCGGCAGGCATAGCAGCGCGAAAGCGGGCCTCACTAGTCTTAAGGTGGGTGATGAGGTCTGCGACAGTGTGAAAAGAGGCTAGGTCGGGGAACAGGTAGGGGAGAGTGAGGCGGCCTAGCGTAGCAGAAGCGGGTGAGGAGTAGCGGGCAACTACAGCGGTGTAGAGGTCCTTAGCAGTCTTGCACTGGCCGAAGTGCTCGCGCTCGTCTAGCGGCAGGGAGTTGCGAATAGCAAAGCGAGCGTGCGCATCACGAGTCTGCCACTGAGAGCGTAGAGTGCTGTCAGCAGACGTGTCAGGGGCAGTAGCATGGCCTAGGGCGTGGTCGTACAGCGAGATGTCTTCCTTGGCAGTGAGCTGTAGGAACAGGTGCAGGTCATCTAGCCAGGTTTCGAACTTCACCGGACGGCCCTCGGCATCGAAAGCTAGAACGGGAGGACTAGCCATAGTGACAGTAGTAGGAGGAGGAACTAGGCCGCTGGAAAGGTGTGCGTAGGGTCAACGGGACCGGCGGGGCCGCTAGGTAAGGCGCGGGCGGGGTCGACTGTCCGTAGTGGCACACGAGCGGCAGGAGTAGGGAGCGTGGCAGCAGGAGCTGCAACGGCGCACTGGTGGCAGCTGCAGTGGCAGCAGTGTGCGCGGTAGGTAGCGTAGGGGCAGCGGCGGCGCACGGGCAGCGGCGGCGCACGGGCGGCAGCAGTGCACGTGCGGCGACGGCAGGAGGCGGCGGTGCGCAAGCAGCAGCGGAAGCAGCGCACGGGCGGCAGCTGCGTATGCGCACGTGCGGCAGTGGCAGCGGCGCACGGGCGGCTGCGGGCAGCGGGGCGTGCGCGAGCAGGCGACGGGCGGCTGCGGGGCGTGCGCGAGCAGGCGACGGGCGGCTGCGGACGGGCGGCCTCTGCGACGGCGGGCTGCGGGCCTGCGGGGCGTGCGCGAGCAGGCGACGGGCGGCTGCGGGGCGTGCGCGAGCAGGCGACGGGCGGCTGCGGGGCGTGCGCGAGCAGGCGACGGGCGGCTGCGGACGGGCGGCCTCTGCGACGGCGGGCTGCGGGCCTGCGGGGCGTGCGCGAGCAGGCGACGGGCGGCTGCAGCAGCGGGTGCGTCAGCGTGGCGCACAGGGCAGCGGCGGGCAGTGCGCGAGGCTACGAGGCGCACGGGCAGCAGCGCAAAGGCGCGCGGGCAGCGGGGAGGCAGCGTGACGGGCCGCGCGCGAAGAAAATAAAGCGCGCGCGGGCAGCTGGCGGGGCGCACGCGTGAAAACGGCCGCGCGAGAGCGGCTAGCGAGCTGCGTGCGCGTGGTAGGTAGGTAAGGAGCGCTCTAGGACGCGCAGGCGCACGAGGCGCACAGTAGGTAGGTAGGTAGGTAGGTGGGCCCTAAGAACAGTCCTAGCGACGGACCTGCTCTGAAACCATGTCAGAAATAACGGACTGGAATGGTGAACTAGAAAGGATTGTGAGTACAAATATGAAACCCTAATGTTGTGACCCCCCCTATAGGCTAACCCACTACAGCCTACACAAACACAACACATATAATGTTTGACATTCATCAACTATTGGCGAGACGTAAATTCAGTTTGAATGAACGGCACTGCGGCAGCCACTATAGTCTTAGAACACAAATTAGGAAGAGTTGCGAGTTGGGAATGACTTCCAGCTCATACAAACCTCAAGAGCCGAGGTACAGTGATGTGGAACAGTGCCACACTGTCCCCAACCAAGAAGGGTCTCAAAACTACCCTTCACAAAGGCCTACACCAAGTGAAATGTTACACTAGACAAAGTAATGTAACAAATTCCCTGTAAGGAAAAACCCTTTTTCCTTACTGGGGTTTACTCAACCGCGTACAACCCCAACTTTCGGAAGTGCACGTTCGGCCAGTTTACTTGCTGCCGAAGCAACTTCGCGTCGCCTTCGGCTTTTCCTTTGCCCAACCTGCACCCAACCTCGTGTTCCCGAGGTTTCCGCCTAGTTAGGTTGAGCCACTATATTATCGCGTGCCTTTCATTGTATCATTAGTTCATTGAGTCACAGCCTCGTTATTCATTGTTCCGCGCAACTCTGTTTGACAACTCATAACACCTGGTATCGGAGCTACTTTACTAGTTCACCCCGCATTTCGAGGGTAGTTTGGAGGCACGGGTGTGGCTGGTAAAGGAGACTGCGAAACGGTTGGCTGCAAGGTCCTTTTTCTTGCTTCCTAGGACTCATGCGTCAACGCGGTTTCCAGCACCTTCATTTTCTTCTGCCTCGCTTCCTTCTGCTTACTTCTCAGCCACGGTTTGTAGATCTTCCGTCTCACGTTGATTTCCAATGACACCGTACCTTTTTCTTATTTCCTAGTCACCCCGCCTATGTCATCTTAATTTTTTTCGGCAGTAAATCGGAAATACACCCCATCCTTAGCGCATTCCAGGTCCCTGACCTACGTACTATCCGCCCTTCACTCGAGAAAAGTCTCTCAGGCTATATCCTTCAAATCGTTGATTCCGATCACGTTGTCCTTGTCCATACCGCTCGCTCTAGAACTTTCTTTGCTGCCTACCTCTTTGACTCGGGATGCCACCTAAGCACCCAGTCGCCTTGGGCTCGCTATGGCCGCTGCCTATGCTCCCGTATCCTCCTGTCCACCTCCCTCTTGGTGGAAACCCCCCCTTCCTGCTCGGCTGCTATGTATTTAACACGCCTCCCCCTTCAGTTCCCTCATCGCCTTCTGCCTCGTTTCCCCTCTTCTGCTCTCCCCAACGCCCTCTGCCGCGCTTACCCACCAACCATGGCCTCCGAGGGTCATAACCCGGATGAGGAGATGACGCTCGCTGACGTCGAACTGCAGCTCGACGCGGAAGAGCTTCATCTAGACGACCTCCCTGACGATTCGCTCCTCGCAGACCCTCCTTCTAACGGCGCCCCCGCTCCCAAGAAGCTCTGCACTGAGGGAGACGTCTCTGACAATGCCCCTGCCCCCTCCTCCGCGGCTCCCCTTGTTTCGAATACCTCAGGCCAGCTGCCCAACGCCCACGCCCTGTCTGCTGCGCCTCCCGCAACCACGGTGGCCTCTCCTCCCTCCGCTGCACCCCCCATCTCACTCGCGTTGGCGACTCCCTCTGCTGCCCCTGTTGTCTCTCCATCTGCAGCAGATCCGCCGCGCCAGCGCGCCTCTGCTGCTGCCAGCGGCGTTCCTGAGGACCAGGCGGACCACGCTGACACCTCAACCATCTCGCGCAACCTTCGCCGCCGTCGCGCGGCGATTTCGATCCCTGTTATGCCCCGCAGGAGACTCGCGGTGGTGGAAATCCTGTTCCCTGAGGCGGGAGCGGAGGCTAACCGCGCCGACCTGATCACGCGCATTTCGAGGCACCTGCATCCGTTTCATTTCCGTAACAATGTCGTCCCGGAGTTCCAGCCTTCGGTTGGAGAAGTGCTCCGTATTCCACGCCGTGCCTACGCACGCCTTGCTTTTCCTGGCCTTCTCAAGATGACGCCGACGACTTCAAAAGCCTCTTCCCGCTCACGTTCCATCTCCCCAACTCCCGCTCTGTGGTGCTGAAAGTTTACGTTAATTTTTACCCGCGTTTCACTTCGGCTAAAGCAGGAGGTGCCACCACGCTGACCCTTCGCAACGTCCCCCCGGGTTACGCCGCGGAGGACCTCCGCACCTTCCTGATGCACCAGGACGCTGTGGGCGAACCCTCCTCGCTCGCTGACCTCCAGTTTTTCCACCAGATCAAGGACCCGTATGAGGATATGTATCTTCCTATCTTCACTGGAATCCCGCTACCCCCGCAGGATGATCCCTGCTTTCTTCGCATCCCCGCGGTCTTCAACTTCGAGTTTGGTTCGCCCCCAGCTGTGCTCAACATTTCTTCTCATGTGTGTACCTTCTGCGGCAACAATCACCGTGACGCAGACCATGAGATCTTCCCCACCAAGAGCAGGCAGAGCCTGACTAACAGGCAGCAGCTCTCGGTCGCTCAGCTGCAGCAAGCTGACAGTAAGGCCGCCCCATTGCTCTGTCCCCTTTCCCCCCTCGTTGCTGCCTTTAATCCTTTGTCCATCTGGCTGTTTTGGCTCTACCTCTGCTATTTAACGTCTCCTCGCCTGCCTTCACAATCCCTCCCCTCACTGCCCTCCCCACTTCGGTTTTTGCCCCACTTCTCTCTCAGGCCAGCTTCTCGGCTCTCTGGTTGTGCTTGCAATCCCTCCCCTACTCCATACCCGTCCTCACCCTCTATGCTCTCCGCACCCCACCCTAAACCCTGCTTCCCTAGCAAGGCAAACTTCAGGCTCATGGGCTGCGTTTGCAAATCTCCTCTCACCACCATCCTGCCTCTCTCTGCCCTAGCCTCCCCACCCCGAACTCTGCCTCCCCCCCTCTCTGGCTCGCTGCCCGGCTCACGGGCTTTGTGCACGACTCTTCTAACCCCTCAAGCCCGCCCTTTCTCTCCTTACCCTTACTACCCAGAGCATCCCACCTCTTCCTCAGGCCTGCTTCTACGCGCCTGCGTTGCGAGTGTAATGCTCCCAACACCCCCCCCCCCCACAGTTACCCCCCATGTCCTCCCACCCTGTACTTGGCCTCAGTCCCAGCTCAGGCCGACCTCTTCTTGGCCTCCGGGATGCGCCTGCGACCTTCCCCCTTCCCCCAACCTGCCGCTCCCATCTCGCTCTCACTCACCCCGTCCTATGCCCCACCCCACCCCCAGGCTCTGCCCCATGAACCTGCCCTGCTCTTGCAATTCTCTCCTGCCCCCCACCCTGGACCTTCCCTCACTACCCCTCCTCCCCCGCTCTCAGTTGGGATCCCCTACATGGGCAGATTTTCTGCCCCCACTTCGCGTAAACTGCCCCATCCACTTCCTTACTCTCCTGCTGCCCCTCGACTCCCCACCCCATCCCCTGCCTTCCAGGCCAGGTGCTCGGCTCTCGTGCTGCGCCCGCAGCCTTTCGCAACGACCCCGGGATGCTCTACATTGGTCTCGACGCGGATGTCGAGCCATGGACCTGCGCCTTGTGCAACCTGACTTGCGGCGCTGCCCTCGACTCGGCTATGGCCCACATTGCCTCCGAGCCGCACGTTGCAAAGAAACTCTCTGCAGCCCACCTCCCTGCCGCGAAGGAAAAGTACACCGGGTGGAAGGCCATGACCTTCGTGGCTCTCCCGCAGATCGCTGATTTCCTTGCCCAGCTTTAGATCGATGGATAATACACTTTCACATTTTGATATCCTTGCTCCGTCGCTGCTTCCACCCTATCGCGTTTAGCAAAGTGTCATGCTACTTGCTACCTTTGCTACTTTGCTACCGTTGCTACCCCCCAAACTGCCGACTTCCCTGCCCAGCCGCAGGTCGGTGGTTGTTGGACTGCTCTATATTTTTATCCTTGTCTTGCTGCTGCTTTTATTATGCAGTGTACAACGCAATTATATGTTACTCTTTATCTTGCTACTTGTTTCTACTTTCTCATATCTCAGCCCGTGGATCTGCACGCTTCGGTGTGCGATGGGCTTTAATCTGCCCTCCATGATAACACACCTCAGAATCTTATGCATTAACATTAACGGAATAAACACCCCTTTTAAAATGATCGCCCTTAAAGGATGGCTCAATTTTTTCTGACGGAATATTGACATTGCTGTACTAGTTGATACGTGCCTCACAGAAAACGTGAAACGGCTCGACCTTCGCTTTCGCCCACATGCCTCGGCTCACACCATGGCCCGCTTTTGTAACACCCACTCGCCTGGCTCACGTCCCTCTCCCGGAGGAATCTCTATTCTTGTTTTTAACAAGTCCATCTCTCTTATCTCATACACGCCGTCAACCGACGGACGTCTCCTTTCTGTCGACGTCAATTTCCAACACGAGCAAATTAGACTCGTAGCTATATACGCACCGCCTCATGCTATTGATAGACGCGTTTGGTGGCGCTCACGCCTCGCTCCGATGCTAGACTCCCCATCTGCTGCTTCTGCAACCCTACTCGTTGGGGACTTCAACTCTGTGGTTCACCCCTCTGATCGCAACCGCCCCCTACACGGTCATGAACGAAGTGAAGCCTCCGTCATCGAGACTCTTCTGTCTGAACATTCGCTCGTCAATACCTTTCGGGCACTCCACCCTAACGCTACAGTCTTCTCTTACTTCGGTCGCCCGCGTGCCACGCCCCGACCTCTGCTACCATGACCAGTCACAGCACGACCTACAGGCTTTCCGCCTGCGGTCCTACACCCGCACCACCTCGACCCGCTACCCCCCAATCGACAGGCCACCCGCCTGTAGCACCACCACCTGCCTCCCGACTAGACCGGATGTACATCTCTACCTCACTACAGAACCGACTTGCAGCTTCCCTTACCTATTCACCCCCCTTATCATATCTGACCACTCCTACGCCCCACTCTGCTCCATAGCTTTCGAGCTTCCCGCCAGAGCACCCCGTCCAAGGCTGCTTAGCCCATCTCTCGTCTCGCGGCCGTACATAGCCAAGGCTTTGGAAGAGCACATCCCTGCCTTGCTCCCCTCTCCGTCTCCGGAAGAATGGGATGCATGGAAACATGCCCTCACGCTACGCCTCAAAAGATTTTCCAACCAGGAACGACGACGTGTACACAAGACGCTTGAGCATCTTCATCACCTTATTAGCCACTTACAATTACAGGCTGCAATCTCCCCTTTAGACTCGGAGTCGGCATCTCGCCTTTGCAAGGCCCAGCAGCAGCTCGCAAGATACACTGCCGCTAAAGCCGCTGAACTTGCTCTCAAAGCCAAACTCAAGGTCGAGGGCCATCGCGAGATGGGAATTTCATCTCTTCTCGCAGGAATGAACTCCCGCATTAAAGCCTCCCTTATCACCTCCCTCACCCTGCCTGGTGGACAAACGGCGATCTCCCCTCCATGACAACCGCCTGTTCTAGTTTCTTCGAATCTCTTTACAGTGGCGTCCCATCCGCCTCCCCCAATCCCGACTTTTGGGAACACATCCCTCGTTCCTCCCCCCCCCCCCCCCCCCCCCCCCCGACCCTAGGCCCAGATGGACTCCCTTGAGAATTATTCAGGGTTTACAAGACTCGCCTCGCTCCGGCCTTCCTGGCCCTCCTGGCCTCCTCGCCCTCCTCCCTGCCCCCCTCTATGCTCTCCGGTCGGACGGTACTCATCCCAAAAAAAGGGGATGCCTCCCTAATAGATAATCTTCGCCCCATCACCCTCAAAAACGTAGACTACAAGGTTCTAGCCCTCTGCTTGGCCAACCGACTCCAACGCCTCCTTCCTCTTGTTATACATCCTTCTCAAACGGCTTTCATCAAGCACCGTAAGATCGGCGATACAATTAACGACACGCTAGATATCATGGATTGGGTTACCTTCACACAAACACCCCTCCTCGCCTTGACGGTTGACTTTCGTAAAGCCTACGATCTGCTAGATCGACCTTTCTTATTTCATGCTCTTTCCCATCTTGGCGTCCCGGAGGGCTTCATCTAGTGGATCCGCCTCATGCACTCCAACACTTCTACCCGCATCTCCGTCAATAACATGGATGGTGCCCCTTTTCCGGTGCGTACTGGCGTCCGGCAGGGTTGCCCACTCGCCCCCCTCCTGTTCGTCTGCGCCATCGAGATTTTGCATCGCTACATGTCTTTATACCTCCCTGGCTTCCCCCTATCGCCTACAAACAAGCGCCTCATGGCCTGCTATGCAGACGACGTTACAATTTTCCTCTCATCCGACAAGGAGCTCGAAACGGCCACTGCCCATCTCCTGATCTTTGCCGCAGTCTCTGGTGAACGGCCAAACTGGAATAAATGCTCCATTATCCCCTTCAATATCCCGGACCGCCTCATCACCCACGCAGGTCACATCCCTATACGGGCAGCCAATGAGGCTGAACGAATTCTCGGAATTTTTGTCGAGAAAAATCTATCCAACACTGCCACCTGGACTACTACTTTGTCTCGCATCGAACGCTCCATTAAATTTTTAGCTGCCCTCCGCGCGACCGCCACGTGTCGCAAGTCTCTCGCCTCTATTTTCCTCAATTCAGTTCTTTCCTTCCCTGGTCGGTTCCAGCCTCCCCCACCTGACATACTTGCAAAGCTGGATACTATAGTGAGCACCTTCCTCTCATCGTCCCGGTTTAAGGAAACTGGTTTTGCCATGCCCATAATCCCATACCGACTTCTTTACAACTCGACGAGACACGGAGGCCTGGGCGCCACTCGTCCATCCATTCAAATTAAGGCCCTCACGATACAACGTGCCCTCCGCCGCTTTGATGCAACGCCCTCTGAGGAGGTCGCACGCTGCGCAATCTCCCTTCCTTTTGGCTCTCACGCTTTCCTCTCCCACAAGCTGATTCTGTCGGCCAATACTCTGCCCCCCTCCATCCCCCTCGCGTTCTTGCAGAACTCAAAGACATCATGTCCCTCCCTACTGCCATGGCCCCTCCGCCTCTGTCTTCACTGTGCCTTCTCGCTGAACCAACAGCGTTCAACCGCTTCATCCTTAAACCCAACGGCAGACCTTTTGGTACCACCAAATTTGAGCGGTTTCTACTGTCCGAACAGTTTAGGCTCGGCGACATTATCCAAATCTCACTGGACGGGCTCGGTCCTATCCCCGAAATTGTCTTTGCCACCAAATACCCGCGCACCGACCTTCTACCCAGTTACCAAGTTATCCGCGCAGTCTTGGAGGCTGTTCCCAAACCATGGAAGGACGAGATTCGTGGCCCCTCCCTTGCCTCCGCCTCCCCGGGGGACTATTTCATTCCGAAGGAAGACCTACACTCCCCCCCTTCCCTCATTCTACAGACAACCTCGTTCTCCCCTCCTTTCACGCTTTCCGCCACCCTTCATCGAATACTGTCCAACGGATTCTTTGAGCGTACACCCTTTGGGTCTGGGGTTTTCCACATTATAGATGTCGTGGCGGTTCACACCCAAGGTCATTGGGTGGCTGGCCCGCTACATACAGGTGCAGGGCTCGGCGCGCGGTTGGAGATTCTTCGTGAAGGTGTCCCGAGCCTCGCAGTTATTGTCAGAATATTATGCTCTAGCCTGCAGTGGGGTGCTCTATAGCGAGTACAACCCTTCTAGGGTTAGCTATTTGTACCACCATTGTTGCTAGTGCAAACCCTCCTTTGCTTCATTCTCTCTTGCCTAGCTAGGTCAACCCTAGCTATGGCTGCTCATCGTATTTACTCTCACGACATGCTATCAGAGCAGGACGATTCAGTTGGGTCGATCCTGTGGGTGGGCCCCACCACCTCAGTCTTCCGCTGCTCCTACTACTGTTTGTGTCGCACGCCCCGTGGCGTGCGACGGATTTTTCATCCCGCCGCGCGCTCGGGGCGTGCGGCGGTTTTCTGCCCGCCGTGCGCCCCGGACGCGCGGCGGTTTCCTGTCCGCCGTGCGCCCCGAGGCGCGCGGCGGTTTCCTACCGTGGGGGACCCCCGCGCGCCCCCGATTTCCCGTCGCCCGCGGCCCCCCCGTTCCCGTCGCCCGCGGCCCCCCGTTCCCGTCGCCCGCGGCCCCCCGTTCCCGTCGCCCGCGGCCCCCCGTTCCCGTCGCCCGCGGCCCCCGATTTCCCGTCGCGCCGCCCTGGGGAGCCGCGCGCGACCCCCCGCTGCCCCTTCGCGGCGCCCTAAGGAGCCGCGCGCGGCCCCTCGCTGCCCCGTGGTGGCGTCCTGGGGGTCGCGCACCGTCCCCCTCGCCGTCCCCCGCGCTCCTTCCCCCGTTCCGCCCGTTTTAGGGTTTGGGGGTGAGGAGTGTGGGGGTGGCGGCTATGGGGGTGTCGGTTGTGAGTTACTCCCCCTGCTCCTCCTCCTCCCTCGTCTCCCTCTGCTACAGCTGCCGCTGAGGGGGGTGGTGTGTGGGAGCCTAGGGTTTGGGGTTTAAGGGGGGTACCGTGGGAGTGGAGCTAGGGTTTGAAGCAGGGGGTGTGTGTCGAGGGGTGTGGGACTGTTGGGGGAGATTGAGCGGAGGTTGCCGTCGTGTCGTACGCAGCGCCTGTACTCCGGGGCACTCATTCCCGGTAGCTCAGAGAGCCGGTTGCGCCGTCGCCTGTGGGTCCGTTGCTCCTGCCGCGCGTATTAGCCGCGGAGCCTGTTACTCCTGTACTCCGGGGCACTCATTCCCGGTAGCCACTGTGTCGCACCAGAGCCGTCTGTTGCCCGTGTGTCTGCAGCTTCAGTCGTCGCCTCCTAATCTACTCTCCTCTCGCCAGCCCTCCTCCTCCTCACTTGCCCTCTGTGACTGCCTCTAGCTTTGCTCATAATTGTGAACTTTAAACTATTGCTTCTTGAACTTGTGCTCAGAATGTGTGGTGACATCGTGATCCACCCTGAGCTTGTACTGCTTTGCTTGCTCTGCTGATTACACCCCACTTTGGCTATGGGGGTGTGTCAGAATATTATGCTCTAGCCTGCAGTGGGGTGCTCTATAGCGAGTACAACCCTTCTAGGGTTAGCTATTTGTACCACCATTGTTGCTAGTGCAAACCCTCCTTTGCTTCATTCTCTCTTGCCTAGCTAGGTCAACCCTAGCTATGGCTGCTCATCGTACTTACTCTCGCGACAGTTATCCGACAACTACTTTATACGCTCGACCACGACTCATGTTGGACCCTCGCTCTCTCCTCCCCTTTACCTATCCCCCTCCCTGATCTCTCCCACACCTTCCTTCGCGAGCAACCTAGCCTTCAACGCGATCTTCTATACCGCTTCTACACTCGCTCTCTTCTTTCGGGCACCCGGTTTCTGTTCTCTGCAGATAGAGGCCGCTGCTCGCACTGCTCCTCCAACGAGATTGATACTATCTCACATATCTTCTTTGTTTGCGGAGCAGCTCCTGATGTGACGGCAGCATTGGGCTCAGTTGCTCGTCGCCACTTGGGCTGCTTCCCCCTGACCGAGCACATCATGTTTCCGCTCCCTTCTCGAGCTGGCCAGTCTGCCCCCTGGAGCCTCCTGGTAGGCGCTGCTGCCAAGGCCCTCTAGAATGCTCGCTGCACTCAGAGATCTAACGGCGTCGTCTCCTCTCGCTTTGAGATCTTGCAACTCATTCTTGCTCAGTTTCTCTTGGCCTTCAAGATTTTCCTTTGGCGACGCTCTAAACAATCTGCAAAAAAACAGCAAAAATCAGCGTCACGCATTTGTGCGGCTAAACGATTTCGCTTCATCTCCTTCGCAGCCGACGGCTCCCCATCCATTCATCCCGACCTCCGCAACTCGTGGCTCCTTGGAAACCCTTTTCGTCCCCCGTAACTTGGTTTTATATTCTTCACAGAATACTCCCCAACGAAGCTGGTGGCTGTCCGCTAGGATATGGGAATAACGTGTTCACCACGTACACCTTAAGGTTGTTGGCGCCTTTAGCCATATTCTCTGTTATTATGTGATTTTGTATGTAATGATTACGATCATAATATATTCTTATTCCTGAAGGCTGATGACCAATCAAATCAGTCGTCTGTGCGGATTCCCTGTCACCAATCCCAACTTGTTCGAACAACTCCTTTCGAACGTGCGGAATGAAGAGCTTCCTGCCCCATGTGACAGCTCTATTCAGATTCGCGAAATTTCTGGCTAGCGATGTCACGAATACCCTTACGAAAAAAAGGCGAAAAATGTAACATTTCGCCTGTTCGAACGAGCGTGCTGTTCGAACTGAGAGGTGAAGCGCCCTGAACTGCCTTTGGTACTGTATTGGCTCCACGTCCGAGCCGTGTGAGCGTTTGGGTTCCCCACCCAGCGACTGTGTTTTGGGAGTATAGTGTTTTCGGAATGTATTGAGTTTCAGAGCGGTTCTGTAACTGGTTGAATGTGTTCAAAGAATTGGTTCTGGGTGTTCAATTCAAATCGAATCGAACCAATGTTGGTGGTGATGCCTACGAATGGCTGCCCCCAACCCAACCAAGCAGGGAATGAAGGCATACGGTCAGCCCACATTTCAGATGATATTTCACCTCAGAACTACTTGCACTCGTTGCACCCCAAGCAGGCCGCCCAAGAGCCTTAGCTCAGTCCACATTCTACGTGGTACGGTGGCAGGAGTAATTGGCGATGACGGGAGGCATGGAGTTGAAGCTAAACGGATTCGTTCTGAAGGTGCAAGCAACGCCGGAGACATCGGGAGAGGTGACGGAGGTAGTCGTAAACGTGAAGAAGGGAGCGGAGGAGTTAGTAGCTCGAATAACGAAACAAGGCGAGGAAATGGCAGCTCTGAAGCGAGAGGTATACGAAATGAGACGCGCGATGGTGAAGGGGGCGCTGGAGTTGATGGGAGCGGCGGAGAACCACAGCGCGGGCAGTGCGGCGGCAGGAGAGGACGGTGAGGCGCTTTCAGCGCAGCCGCCGCCGAAGGGCGAGGCGCTTATGGTTCTGGTGGAGGCCATGATCGCGGCGCGGGTGAAGGACGTGCGGGACGAGCTCGAGTCGCAAGAGAAGGGATTGAAGGAGCAGGTGGAGGCGGCGAGAGGCGAGGCGAGGGACGCGGCGAGCGAGGTGAGGGCGGTGTTGAAGCAGCAAGCGGCGGAGATGGCGGACGTGCGCGCGACAGCGGCGCACATTGACGCGCGGATGAACGACGTGGAGCTGGCGGTGGCGGAGTGGAAGAGCGCGCGGGAGAAGCCGCGTGCCGAGCGAAGCGACGACAGCGACGGCAGTGCGAAGGAGCATGCAGAGACGGAGAGGCGCGAGGGGAAAAAGAGGAAGAGGGAGGTGGCGGGGAAAGGGGATGATGACAATGCGGCTTCTTATGAAAAGCGAGATGAAGCGGATAACTCACAGCGGAAGGCGGAATGGCAGGAGGTGAAGAAGACGGTCGAAGCAGTGGAAAGCAGAGTGGCGAAGCTGGAGAAGACGAGTGACGAGGGGAAGAGGGTGTGGGAGGTGAGTGGCTACACGTGTTGAGATACCCGTGCTCCCCCCTACTAATCCCCTGGGCCAGGATATGCTAAATTCGCCACTGCTAGTGGTCAGAAAGAACACGTGCCAGCCGTGGTCGTTAGTTGATGGTACATACACCATTGCCATCAACCTGTGCCGTATTCCGCGCCCAATCAGAACTCAGTTATACTCGTGCCTGCTGCTGCTTGCCCTGCCTGCAGGCAATGCTCACTCTCTGGGAGGCAGCAGCGCCAGAGCAGACTCACATTGTCCTCAGCGGCATCTCCTGCCTCACTTACGCTGCTCTCACCCGCCTTGCCTCGTTGCGCCACCTCACACTCGTGGACCTCGATGGCTCCTCTGGTTTCACAGCAGCAGGGATGAGGAAGCTGTACTCCCTCACAGAGCTGGAGCATCTGATACTTGGGGCCACCAATGCAACTGATGCTGCTCTGGAAGGGATTTCCCGGCTGAAGAACCTACAAATTCTCGTGCTTGACAACACGAGTATCACAGACGTGGGAGTGGCGAGGCTGCAAGAGCTGTGTGCTCTCACGGCGCTGTGCGTGAGCGGATGTGCGTCTGTCACATCTGCCAGCATGGTGCATGTGGGCAGAACGACAGCATTGCAGTGGCTCACATTGAATGGTACTGGAGTCAAGGAGGATGGGCTGCAGCATCTGACTGCCCTCACATCTCTCAAGTTCTTCACTCTGCCTCCAGGAGTGACCGACTCGGGCTTAAAGCATCTGAGGAACATGAAACGGCTGGAGAAGCTGGGGATGAGGGGTGCTAGCATCACTGCGTCAGGTATGAAGTGGCTCCAGGGCCTTCCTAGCCTCCGAAGGATTGGAACTTCTTCGTACGAGATGGAGGAATTGATTAGGGACATCCTTCCCGGAGTAATTGCTACATCAGGTCCCCTTAATTCGTGGTGCACAGGAAAATACGCTTATTGCCTGTTGCGATGAAAGCTTTCAAAGCCTAGCTATTTCAGCTCTACTGCTGACCCTGTAGATTCCAATTTGATACCCAATCAGACAGTGTCGATATTGATCCTTGCTAGCTACCAGTACCAGCTCTCTGTAGGCACAAGGGCTCTCGTATATTTCACACCTGACGTTACGAAATGTGGGGATAGTTTAGAGACCTGATCACATAACAGCGCCTAACTAAACTCCGAGCTTGCGTCCTTAGGCACGTGCCGCAACCCGCTTCAGCTCACTTCACCTCCACTTCAGTTCACCTCACCTCGAACACCGTGGTCCTACTACAGACCTGACCTGCTCACACAAGCAATAACATGGTGCTGCTTACTTCTGCCCAGAGGTACCCTGCGCTTGGCGAGTCATTTCCACTATAAGATCCTTCACATCCCTGCATGCACGCACACAATGGGGGGCAGGAAAGGAGAGGGCAGGGCATACTGTATCCAGGGGCATGGATTGCTCAGGACAAGAGCAGGGGAGCGTTACAGCAGACAGACAGACAGTGAGAAAGCTGCCCGTAGCAATCCTTCACAATGACACGCCGCAGTTTCCCTCTCTGCTTCCCCCCTCCCCCTTCCTCCCTCAAACTTCCCTCCCCTCCCCCACTTCCCCTCCTCCTCCCCTTCCCCTCCCCCGCTTCCCCTCCTCCTCCTCCCCTCTTCCCCCCCCTCCCTCTCCTCTCCTCTCCCCTCCCTTGGCTGTACACAATACATTGCTCTCTGCCCTCTCACACATCTCCCCACTCGCTAGCCCCTCACTTTCTGCTGGTGGCAGGGCGGGGGAAAGGCAGGCGCACTCGAGACACCTGCCCCTTGAGAGGCGTCTGGTTGTTGCCACGCCGTGGGCGGGGGGGGGAGGGAGAGTGGTACGCATGGTGTGGAATGGTGGGGATGGTGGGATTGGAGGGGGTGGAGGGACGGGGGGATGGGGGGATGCGGGTGATGAGGGTGATGAGGGTGGTGGTGGGGATGGTTGCGATAAAGGGCAGCAGATGGTTGGGAGTTGGGGGGGAGATTGGAGGACATGAAGAGACGAGAATTGGAAGGAATGGGGAAACAAGATGAAGCTGTTTACTCAGCAATAACGGAGTGAGAAAAGGATGCAATAGCGAACACTGTAGAGTCAAACACACATCCCACTATGGCATGCAGTTGTGGTGGTGCACGCATGGCATGTGGGAGTGTCTGACACGGCAACTGACCTCCACCAGGAATCCAAAGCGGTCCACATAGAGGATCTTGGCCGATGGCACCTGCTGGGCAACACAGCATGACATAGCATGGATCGATGGGCAGTCGGATGGACAATGAGGCAAGAGTGGAGTTGAATACACACTGGTACCAAGGGGTTGGTCCTGTGTCACTGATAGCAAGCAAACGCGGGTCACAGAGAGAGGACAAGCACTGGAAGGAATAGAAAACGATTGCACGGCCTTGCACATGCAAGTACGCAACGATTCACCACAGATAAAGGCCATCATGGCATTGAGGTGCATGGCCATCAGGCTTGCAGTGGACCACACACAGCACCCAGCACCGAGCCAGCAAGGCATGGCAAGCGCATGCTACATACACGGCACTGTGCGCGGTTCACCTCCACATGTAGTGACGGGTGCGGTAACACACACAAGGAGCTGGAGTGACTGCAGTGGCAGCAGGGCAAGGCATAACAGCAGGGCTGTGCTGTATGCACTGCACGGCAGTG